AAGTCTGCTAAAAGTGAGAGTGTCCTGTATCTCCCTGATTTGGAGTTGCCCCTAAAACTTAGAGAGAATGAGAAAAGCACAGAAGGAATTGCATGCATAACCTTTCCCAGCACTGGTGCCTGCGCTCCTGCTGGTCCTGGCTGTTGGTGTCTGCCAGTCTATCTGTCAGACCTCCATGGATGCTGCTGGCCTCCTCAACTCAAGCCTAGCAGTTCTAGCAGAGCCCCCCAGATCTGCGTCACCTAATCTTCAAAGCTGAGCTCCTGTTCACAATGGCTTCATCCTGCCCCTACCCATTAGCGAGGGTGGTGTTCCCTTAATGAGCTAGTCCCCTGCCTTGGCTGGCGCCGAGCTGGTCACACCTGTTTGCCATCAGGGCTGTCTGGGCCCAGCCCCAGCACTGGGCTGCAGGTGGTGGGGCTGGATGAGGGGTGTGTGGGGAGGGCCGGGTTCCTTATGTTTTGTGCACTACGCTTGTTGGAGGGGGCAGTTTCTTCTATCCCTCCTCCTCCCACACTGTTCTAAGTGGAGGAGGGCTCTCTGCTTTCTTTTTTGTTATTTGGAAGGAGTAATAAGGGAACTTGAGAAATACCCCATCTTTTCTAACTCCTGCCTAGAGTTAGAAGTAGTGAGGGGCTAGTCAGGCATCTTTGAGGAGGGTTTGATGTTCTCTGCTGAAGACCCTAGGGCCCAGTGTGATAGGAGCAGCGTCACATGGTAAACGCTGAAGGCGGAGTCCCTCTCCAGCCCTAGGCCCCACAGTATTTGGAAAGCGATTATAATCCCTCGGTTTAGAGCCCACGCAAGACTGGGGGGCCCTTCCTTAAAGGGGGCCCCTTGCATTCATGAAGCTGAAGGAAGTTTTGATTTGGTTGAAAAAATCTCATTCCTTTTTATGGCCTGGACATAATTGGCTCTTTTCTATTGGCCATCAGTGATGTCATTCCGACCCTCATAAAGAAGGGGAAATCACACCTGTGGACTCGGTGCATAAAATTTCATTGGGCAGCAGTAATAAGCATGGCCAGATGATGTTTGGGCAGTTGAGGAGCTCTGTGCCCAGTGATTCCAGCTGCACGGAGACCTGGGCACCATAAACCTGCCTGCACGTTCATGCCCGCAGGCTAGTCCAGGGCCCACTGCCAGTGGCTCTTTTCCTGGTAGGAACTCACAGCATTCGGACCTTTTGTGGCAGGGGGACTTTTGCCCTCTTCCTTTCCAAATTGGTGGAACCATGTACCCCCTGGTACTCACGGACCCTAGCCTTAGGCTCCTAAGAACCCTGGAGCCAGGTGAGACCTTGAGCAGTAACCACCATGCTTACCATGCTACCTGCCTCTCTAAGGCCCCAGCGCTTGGCTTCCCAGGGACCGTGAAGAACTCCGGGTGCCTGTGCATGACTGAGGCCCCGTGCAGTCGGAAGGCTGAGGCCCCACTTCTCGTTCTCCCCTTGGCCTCTTGTGTGATCGAGCAAATCCTTTTTCTTCTCTGGGCATCACTTTCCTTTTTTATGTAGGGGATGACAACTACTCTGACCTACCTTGCTCATAGTTTCTCTTGGTGCTCTCTGAGCTGGCGAGAGTTCTGTCATAGAAATGTGTAGCTGTCTTCCCATGAGGCACCTGGAAGTTCAAGTTCTGGTATTTGGCTCTGTGTCTCTTGCGAAGATGGGCCTGGACCCTGCCGCATCTCGACTGCTCATGTCTTGGAGTCACAGGGCCAGGACCAGCCGCAGACTGGAGGGCTCAGCAACCTGAAGGCCTGTGAGTCTGCAGACTGCATGTGTCCCTGCAAGTCCTGGAGCCTGAATGAGAATTACAGTCCTGCCTTCCTCTGCTTCAGTCAGCCACGGGGTCCAGATAGCACTCAGGGCTGCTGCTGAGCCGTGTCTGAGGTTGACCAACCCGCCTGGTGGTCTGTCTAGTCTGTCTTTGATGTGGCCCCTCTGGTATAGGTCTTCCTCCGAGAGGGTCAGGTAGGATTCTACTGTGCCAGACCCTCCCTACCTGGGTAGAAATGTCTACCTTTGATATCTTGCTGGAAAGGGAGCCGCCACCCCCCCACCCCCACCCTGTGCCCCCGACCAGAGTTAGCCACAGCCAATAGGACTTCTGGTCCGTGTCATCTAAAAGAAACTGGGACTGGCTAAGGGATAATATGGTAGGTGGCCCAGGACCCCTGCCTTTTGCTGGCCGGTCCCCCTGACCTGTTTCTTTGCAGATTGTGCTGCTTCTGGTGGCCCCTTCACTCACAGATCTTAATGTGGTTTTTCAACAATACCTGAGCTCAGCAAGCATTTTCACAAATAACAAGGGTAAGGAACATGAAAGAAAAATGGAAGGAAATAAGAAAATTATCCAAAAAATACAGTTCTCCTTAAGCAACCACATTGTGTAGCGCCTAAGGCTATCTTTCAGCCTTCAAAACCTTGCCTAGTATCCTTATATTCTTGGTCCTTGGTTCCCTCATGGGGACGTGTTACCTGGGTACTCCTTCATCGTGGTCTCAGCCAGAACTTCCCTTCTGGGAAATTGACTGGTTGTAATTAATGTCCCTGTGCCACCTGAATATTTGAGAGGACCCTCCCCTTCAAGTAAGGTATCTCAGGTCTTAGAAAAGTAAATTCTTAGTGTACTGCCTGAAACATGGGTATCAGTTTCCTCTGAGCATCTGCCAAATAACAGAGTAATGGAGGGGAGGCTGGACTGCCCTGGAACTTTCTGGGGTGGAACCAATCACCTTAACTGGATTCTTACTACCAGACTTCCTCAAAAAGGAGTTTATACTGTGGTCTCCACTTTCTTATCTCTTACTCACTGTTTGACACGTTGCATGTTGCCTTCTGCTCCCACCAACCCACTGATGCCAAATCCATTGGGTTTTTCTCAGCTGTCATTTTGCTTGACCACTCCGTGGCATTTGACACTAATGACCTGTAATTTAAGCTGAAAAATCGGTTGTATATATTCCAGAAAGGGGAAGTGTGCTTTTAGGTTGTTTAGGTTGACCACAGGTTGATATAAAGTGAGGCCAAAAGAGCATGTGTGACTCTGGGTATCTGATACCCTGAAAAAGGTCCAGGAGCTCTGCCCTCTAGGAATGAGGGTAGGTAGGGTGAGTCCTGACTCATGGTACATTATCTCCTGTGGAATTCTGGAAGGAGATGAGAAGGGACCTCTGGGGAAAGCTTCCTGGGCCCTCAGATCTTGGGAGTATTCTGCAAGGAAGAGATGGAAGTCTCACTCTCTAGTTTCTAAAGACTCAGAGAGAGACAGATTTTAGTTTAGTATTAAGGATATTCTAGAATTGAAGGAGACTAAAACTAGGGCTGATTGCCACATAAAGTAGTGAGTTCCATGTGTGTGGCGATGGTCTTCTAGGGGTGACCTGATTTCATTCTTGCTCAGTAACACTTCTGAGACATTAGCCTGGGCCTTCTGCTCATCTCATTCCATACTCTTCCCTGTTGATCTACTCTTGTGGCTTTAATTTCACTTAAATTACATTAACGATTTAGCAGTTTATATCTCCAGTCCAGACCTCTGCTCAAAACTGGATATGCAGCCGCCTCTGTAGATATCATTCCCCTGCCACATGTCTCCTAGGCACTTTGAACTTAGCAGACATTGAGTGCCCACCATGTACCATGCACGTACGTAAAACTGTATTCCCAAACTTGTGCCTCCTTCCAGTGGTGCACCAGGGGTGAGGCAGTGAGCAGTCCACTGTGATTTGGGCAGAGAATTTAAAAACAGTCATAAAATTGACTAAATACTGTTTTGCTCTGGGTGTCTGATATCCTGTCTGTGCCCCTGCCTCCCTCTCTGTGTCTGACTCAGGGAGTAACATGAAGCTAGCCAAGCCACAGACCTTTGAATTGGGCTCTACTGCTTCCTCTCATTGGGCGCCCCCATCCCATTTGGTTGCCAGGGCCTCCTTCACGTCTCATGTCTGTTCCTTGCTTGTTATTTCTACAGCCTTTGTCTAGCTTTGGGCTACTACCCAGCTTTTTCAGGGTATTGTTTTTGTCGTCCCCAGATAAATCTTTGTAAATCACAACTCTTCAGAGGCTCTCCACTGCCTATGGCCAAGCTCTTCTCTTAGCAAGAAAGTTCTATGTTCTTTCACAGCTACTATTTCTGGTATTTTACTCCATGTTTTCATGTATCCCAGTGCTCCAACTTAAGGCTGTTTAGTCTATTTCTTTTATTGTCCATCCCACTGAACAAATTGTGAACCCCTTGGAGGCAGGGGCTAAGTCTTAACGTTTTGAGCCCTAAGTGCCTGTCTATTATTAAACTTCAGTAAATGGTTGAATGGATTTATGCGGGTACGACATCCTATTTAGAGGGAAAGACCATTTATAAATAATAAGAAAGGGCTTTTGGCTTAAATTCTGACCTTTTATCCTTTTGCATGGTCTCTTCTCTATCAGCAGAAAACCTCTTGCTAGAGACCTAAATGTGAACTGGAGCCCCTGCCCAGCTATCACCAACTCACATGCTCCTCTCTCTCTCCTCCCGTCTTAGATCCCTGCCTCTCTGCTGTAACAAAACAACTACAAACTGGTGCATTGGAAAGAACGTAGGCTTTGGGGTGAGATAGACCTGGGTTCAGTTCTTGGCACTGTCAGTTTTTAGCTGTGGGACTTTCGGTGACCCCTCTGAATTTCATTTTCTCATCTGTAAAAGGTAGGCAACAATGCCTCCCAGCATCGTGCTGAGGAATCACATGCCAATGCGAGTAAGATCCTTAGCATTTTGCAGGCCATCAGAAAATAGTAGCTGCTGGTGTTAGTTTGAATAGAGGTTCCAGGTGCTCACATTTAGATCTGGAACCCAGTGTCCAGGGTGCTAGAGGTGCGGTGCCTTTCTTGGGCAGAGTGGGACCCGTGGCTAATGGGTCAGCCTTCTGAGGAGGTGTGTTTGCATTTCCTAGATTCAGACTCCATACCTGGGACATGGGTGTTCCCAACTTGTTCTCTTTTCCCTTTCTTGTAGGCTCCCAGGCCAGTGCCAGTATTTGGGCTTGCCAGTGGCGGATTACTTCAAGCAGTGGATTAATCTGAAAAAGGTACTGTGTCTGAGCCCCATTCGGGTGCTTCCTCTGGGTCTCCTGTCCCCAGGTCCCCTCCCCCCTTGCTTGCTTTATTCATCTCTGTTCTCTTTTTGTTGTCATCTCTTTCCTTTTCTTTTTGTTCTCTTTTCTCAACATCCCTCCTTCCTCTTCCCTAGCTAACATGCACTGGAAGGGTGTGGACCTTTCTGGGAGGGAGGAGCTGCTTGGGGACCAGGCTGCAGGGTAGAGTATAACATTATCCAATGTAGTGTCATCCAGATGTGCAGAGAAGTCCCAATGAAGGGGACTTTCTAGGTTCTTGCTCAGAACTAAATCACTGGGCTGAGCTGCATTGTCTTTAGGAGAGATGTGGCACTAGCTGAGCCTCTGGGAAAGTATCCTTCTTTGATGTGATCATGAGTGTGGCCTCTGACTGTCCTGAGTGGCTCTGGTATCACCCTCTGGTTGGGAGGTAGAATTAGTTCAGGCTGGCTTTGGTCCTGCCTCGCCCCAGCAGAGCCTTGCTCATGTGACAAGGACCATGGAAACTAGAGCCCAATTCCCTTTGAGTATGAGGAAGGAGACTGGCCCTAATGCAGCACCAAGTACCTGGGGAGTGGGTGCTGGGGCTCTGGGCTGGGAGGGACCCCATGTGGCTATGAAATTGGGACCTGGCAGAGAATGAATTACCCAGAAAACTCTACTTTGCTAGTGTGTGTGCTATACTTCCTAGGTAAGCAGAAGAAAGGAGGTATAGGAATAGACTCTCAAGATAGAGATCCTCCTTCCTATCCCTCTTTTGCGATCATTCCTCCAGGAGGCCCAGTCCGCTAGAGAGACTCACCCCCATAATTCTGATGTAAGGGCAATAGCCCTCGAACAACCTTAAGAACCCCATGCCGCTCATCAGCTTAGTGACTCCCAGGAAATCAGAGAAGAGAGAACACACCAGGGGTCAGAGTAGTGGCTCCCAGGGGGACTTAGAGAAGAGAGCCGTCATTGAAGGGTATTGTGAGGATTTGGCTCGTGAACTGGGTATTCAAGGAAGGTGGAATATGAATCTGAAGAGGAGAGAAGACTTTCCAGGGGAGCAGCATGCTTTTGGTGTGTGTATGGGCTGGAGCTAAGTGAACATGTGGAGGAACAGTAGAGGAGAATGACTTTGGATGTTGTTCCGTCAGTCTCAGGGCAGCCATTCTTTATGGCGACATTTGTGAACTCCTTTGCTTTCCCCTGGTACTCAGGTTCTTTACACGTGGTCCTTGGCCTGTTTGTACTTTGATCCTTACCCACCTCTCCAGCTGATCTCCCTTGGACCTGAGCAGTAGCTACTTACTACCTTCCATCTTTGGCTGAGGGGCCAAGCTCTGTCCTTCCTCCAAGTCTTGGCCTGTGGCCTTACCTCTGTCTGAAGTGTCCCCCAGTCATCTTCATAAGGCACGTTTGCTCTTCTTGAGGATTCAGCTCAGGTATCACCTCTTCTGACAAGGTCAGCAGTCAGTCTCTTGTCTTGAGACTCCTCGACCCTTTGGATATCAGTGATCTTTGAGCGTTGAAACTGAGTCCCAATCTGTTTCCTCACAGACCTGTCCGTCTGGAGCACGGAGACTGAGGCTGGTTCCTCTCTGTGTCTGAGGTGGCCAGATCAGGGCTGAGAACAGAGTATGTGCTCAGTGAATTGTGGCTGGCTGGCTGGCTGACTGATCTTTGAGAGCTGGCTCCACAGGCCTCACACAGGGCTTGGTGGGGCTCTGCACGAGGGTGTGGCTAGGTCTGCGCTCCCGGAAGACAGCATGTCAGCTGTCAGAGTGCATCTGAGGCTGCTTGCTGGCCTTAGCAAATGTAATGTGAAGGCCCGGCCAGGCGAGGCAGGCACTGACCATGAACAGTTGCTCTGTGAAGTTCGCTAGACTCTTTGGTGTCTGGCTAGCTCCCTGCCTCCAGGTTCCTTGGCAGAGAGGCAGGAAAACAGCTGATCCATGTGTTAACATTGCCACCCAAGGCTACCTTGATGCTACTGGGGTTGGAGGCAAGCTGTCCTGAGCCTGTTCAGCGTGGTTCTCTGCCAGACTGTGCCAAGCCATAGGAGGGAAATAGGTGCAAGTGGAAACTGGAGACTTTGTTCCCAGTTGGCCGTGTGACTGCGTCTTGGTAGGTAAACTGAGCAGATCTAGGAAAAACAAGAGTGGCATGAGGCGAGTGGCATTAGAGGGCTCTAATCCCTTCCTCTCTGCCCTCCAGCCACATCATGTTCCAGATGCGCCTGAGGGCCCAGCAGGAGAGATGCCTCACTTCTGGACTTTGGGCCAGTCTTTGCCAGCAGCCATTCAAGACAGAGAGGCTGCAGGGCCCTAGAGGTCCAGGGGCATGGTGATCTTTCTGACCGTTTTACGGCATGGGTTAGTGCAGGGTGCACAAAGATTCCCGCTTCCTTAAAAAGAGTAACAATAACAGCAAGCCAGAGAGGTCATTGCCAGGGTTGCATGGGTATTGTGTAACGTCTTACTCTATGTATGCCCTTCTTTCCCCCTGTGTGACCAGGCCCTGGCTGTCTCCAGGGCCCTCTACTGTCCTTGATCTTACTCTTTCCTCCCTACTCTACCTCCTTTTCCTCTTCTCCTCAACTCCGCAAGCAGAACTTTGCCCATGGAAAAAGTAGGGGTGGGGGTATCTTGGTCTGCTTGGCTGCCAAAACTTGCCCATTGAGTGAACTGGGACTGAATTCACCATCCCCATTTCCTAAGGCCTCTCCTGTCCAGGAATGGTGTGCACTGCATCAGGGAAGAGTAGCTTTTCAGTGGTCAGGCTGCCACATCGCCCGTCTCCACCCACTTCCCCTGTAGCAGAGTGGAGCAAGCCAGTGTTTGCTGACATTTGGAGTATCATTGAATGATCTTACACTCTTATTGAACTGTCAGCTTAGAGAAGACATGGGGCCCTGCTCCCAGCTCCCTCCAGGAGGTCAGAGCTGTCACTGAGGAGCCAGAAGAACACACACACACACACACACACACACACACGTGCAGGAATATACACGTGTTTTTACTCAAGTGAATGAATATACCCAAGTAGGCATATCCAAAGTTGTATGTATGTTTCCATTCATACATATGGGTGTAAATATATAGTCACATATTCACCTTCAAAAATATATGGAAATACACAGGCACGAATGTTTATACATACATATTTATAAAGCATGAAGACACATGGATATATATATAAAAACATACACATCTTCATCAGTAAACACGTATTCTTGAGTGCCCTCTGTGTTCCAGGTACTGTACTAAGCCTGGAGATATAACAGAAAAGATGGATATTAAATAATTCTAATTGTAGTCCAGAGTCATGGCATCATTTCATAAGGGGGCCTGACTTAGGGGGGCAAGGTCAGAGAATGGTTCCCTGAGGAAGGGTGTCTAAGCTGAGATCTGAAGGATGAGTAGGAATTGGCTAGTAAGCATGTGGCAAGGCCCTGAGGTGAGGAGAAGCCTGGCAGCTTCATGGAACTAGAATGCAAGTTCCATGAAGAGTGGAGAATTTTAGTCTCTGTTCACTGTTCTGTCCTCATCACTTTGAATAGTTCCTGGCACACAGTGATGTTTAGTCATTATTTGTTGAATGAATGACTGCCTGGAGCATAGTGAATGTGGGGAAGAGAGGAGAGTGGCGAGGGATGAAACTGGAGGGGGAGGCCACACTTTAGATTTTGATCCTTATCCTTAGGGTAAGGGGAAGCTGTTGAAGGGTACTAAACATAGGAGAGGTGTCATCTGATGTGCATTTTGAAAAAGCTCTTTCTGGCTACAGTGTAGAGAGAGCTGAGTGTTGATATGGGGGGATCAGTACTGGTTTTTCTTAATGGGGCTATAGTTGGCATCTTGGAGTGGGAGGAACCCTTGTCTGGACAGCATTGCTGAACTTGTAGCATTCTTGTCCCCCCGTTCACTGAATGCTGGTAGTGCCCCTCTCCAAGTCATTGTGACAATTGGAAATGCTCCGTGCCCACCATATGCACGTACATTTCCAGGGGCCTAGACAGGGGTGGGAGTGGGGAGGTACTGTCCCTGGTTGAGAACCACAGAATTAGACCACTGCTACAGCCCAGGTGAAAGATGATAGTTACCAGGATTGAACTGAGAACAGTGGAAATGTAGAGAAATGGATTAATTCTAGAGTATAAAGTGGTACAGTCAGTTCTGCTACAATGCAACATAGACCTTCTTAAAAATCACCATGCTATGAAAAGTTATAATAAAAAGTTGAAATAAAAATGGGGTTAGAAGCACAATTCTCAAAAACTTCATCAGTGACATATAAAAAAAGATAGGAATCTAATAAAAAATGGTAGCATAATTTTACATGTTAAAAGGCTAAGAAATACATAAATAGTGCAGTGAATACGGCACTCTACCTTGAAAAAACCCTGAAGTTTGCTTGGCAGTGGGCATGAGAAAGGTTGCAGCTTGTGAGTTACTGCAAAGTGGTAGAAAGCGAGTTCTCTGGAATCAGTTGGAAAGTTGTAGCCAGATGGATGCGGCTTATGATACATGTAGTGTTCTAGGAAGCTACGTATGTTTGAAGTGTAAGCATGTGTGCATTCTGCATCTTCTGACTCAGCTCTCTTCAGCCGGGCCACTTTCCTGTGTTTATCTGGTATTGATGATGAACAAAATCACACATAAACAAAGGCAAAATTTGCATTATGCTAAACTCTTTCCTAATACATTGACTGCATTGGAATGAATGTTCTCTTTCAAAATGAGTATTATAGCAGAACAGACTGTACAGTGGACAGGAAAGGGTGATTGATTGGCTGTGAGGACTGATGATGAAGGAGGAAACCACGATGACTCTTAAGGTTTATGATTTGAGCAACTGGATGAATTGGAATGAATGCACTGAGGTAATGGAAGGAGGAGAAGTTCGGGGATTAGAAGAGAAGATGAATTGGTACACGTAGAGTTTAGAAGCTTTCAGACGTTCTTGTGAAGCTACGGAGTAGTTGAATATATAGGTCTGGGGCTCAGAGATAAGGTCTGGATAAGAGATATAAATTCAGGGGAGTTGTTGGTATATGAATGATCATTGAAGCCAGGAGAATGTAGAATATACAGGGTGAGAAGACAAGAGGGCCTAGGATGAACACTGAGAAACATCAGCACTTAGTAGATAGGAGAGGAAGAGTCAGACATAGAGAAGGAGTGGCCACTGAGAGTAGTGATAAAAATTCTCATTTATTGATTGCATTTTGTGTGCTAGACCTGTGTTGTCCAGCGTAATTGCCAGGTTTTTTTTTCACTTTAAAGTTTAGTTAATTTAAATGTAAATAAACTTTCTTGAAGAACTTTTAGGTATACTTGGAACAACCTGTGTTGGTGAGTTTACATTTTCAATTTATGAAAATAAATTGAACCTAACACCTAGGTTAGCCTAACACCTCCTGTTAGCTGTTTAAAATCTAAATATAGATCTAATATTTCTAATGACGATTTAGCATCTGAACTGAGATGTATTTTAAGTATAAATTACACACTTAAATACAGAATAGTTCATTAATTTTTTTGTTCTTTAGTAATTTTTATGTTGATTACTTCTTGATAATCTGTTATTATTTGCATATCTCTTTTTTTCACATTTTAAGGTTGAGAAAACAGGCACGTAGTGAAGGTGCAACTTGCTCAGTGTCCCACGTTGGTACCTGGCAGAGGTAGAACTGAAATTTAGTTGTGCCTGACCCTTTGTGCTAAAGAGAGGGTTAGGACGAGAGAGTAAAGAGTGGTAGAGAAGGGAGGGTGTGGTGCCACAGAGACCATGGAGAGAAAGAGTCTTCAGGACAAGAGGGCCGGTCAGCTCGCAGAGAGCCATGGAACAGAAGGACCGAACTGGGAGTGCCTGGGACGGAAGGGCCTCGGCAACCTTGGTGAAAACTCGATGGCGTGAGAGGGACTGGAGCCAAATTGGAGCAAATGGGGGAGTAAATGAGGCGACAGAGAAATTTTAACCTTTTCAGAAACATGGCTTTGAGGGAGAGAAAAAGGACAAGGACTGTGATGGGGCAAGTGTGGGGTTGAGGCAGGTGGCGTGTTGTAAGGAGGGGGACGTGCGCTTGGTCGTAGGCACCGTTACGGAAGGAAGTTTGAAAATACAGGACGGACAGAGGTCTCTGGGATGGTGAGGAGATGGGGTGCAGAAAATGATGGAAATCGGCTCTCTGCAGGAGGAAGACCCCTCTTCTGCTGCGAGGTGGGGGCAGTAGATGCTGAAGGAGTGCGGACTTGATGGCAAGTTGAGGTAGTTCCCATCTGATGGCTCATTTTCTCTATGAAGTAGATGAGCCACTTGCTAATAACTAATAGGGGAGGACTGGGAAGGTTTGTAGGAAGTGGGGAGGGATTGCTGTAGTTTTAGTAAAGAGTAGAAGTGTGAGCCAACTCTTCAGTAAAGAGTAGAAGTGTGAGAAATAGAGTAGGATTTCTAGGCAGTATTGAGGGTCCCGTCGAGGTTGATGGCATTCATTCATAGTGGAACCGCTGCTCAGTCGTAGGGCTTTTCTGTAGCAGAGCTCAGCAGACCGAAAGCAGACATTTAGATTCATCCAGGGTGGAGACTTTTCGCAAGAAGTGTGATGAAAGGAACAAAGGAGTTGTTGAAAATACTGGCAAGATGGTGGTTGCCAAGATGGGCTATGAGATCCTCGCTGGATATTGAGGAAAGAGAAGACAGCAGGGGGCCTGATGGATATGGAAAAAGTAGCTAGGTCCCAGTAAGGCGAGGAAAGGTGTACCAGGTGTAGTTGAACATGCCACATGGAAAGATAAGAGATTATGGTTAGCGTAGGATGTGATTTCAGAGGTGGGGCAGTTCTCCGTGTTGGCAGGTTCCAAGGTGCACCCATGGGAGTGAGTAGCTAAGATTGGGTGGTGGAAAATGTTAGTGTAAATAAGAGGTTAAGAAAGGGATAGGTCAGATGCGACTTTCCTAAGGAAGTGAGTATGTGGATACACACATGCACACATAATGTATATATTCTCTCTGCATATGCATGGACACATAGGGATAAATGTATATACGAATATATGCCTGCATGTATGCATATGCAGTTCATGTACATTCAGACCAAGCCATGCAAGTCCATGCACATACACTCACAAATGGTCTGGAATTCCCTCTGGGCCTGTTTAGACAGGCCATCTTAGGAGGATCCTGAGTCAGTCCTGACAGAGCTCAACCAGACATGCTCAGAAGTTGTAGGGAGCGGGTCACCTAGAATTTAACAGACCCAGATGTGCCAGAGTAGGAAGACTCCTGTTCCACTTTTCCTCTGCCATCTGTGCTATCCGCCTTGCTGTAATTTCTGGGTGCTCTGAAGGGGTGCGTTGGGACCAGCTGTGAAAGAGAATAAGGAAGAGGAGACCTTCTTGGGTCCCTCCAAGAAGGAGAAGCATTTCTCCAAGAAGCCTTTCTGTCTCCCTCTCCCCTGGGAGTGGACAGCAGGAGAAACTACTGAAGGGAAGGTTGGTGTCTACGATTGAGTGCGACTTTTCCTGACCTTGGAGCATTCAGAGTCCCAATCAGTGCAGTAATAAATTAAGGGCTTATGGAGGAATAAATTCTTGGCCTTAATGAAGTTCTTTGCTGGGGGCCATAGGCAGGTCAGCAGGTCAGAATGATGCAGATTGGAGGCTCCAGCGAGTGGGCTTAGCTAGCTGGGAAGCCATCAGGAATGAAAAGATCTGAAACTGTCGGTCAGGTCACTGTTTTGGAGCTGTGGGCATAAAACTGCTCAAGTGATAGGCAGCCTGACAGAGGCTGGGACTCTATAGAATGGTGGCCACGTGGTGCCACCTGCAGAGCCCCTCCATTGGGGTTATTCAGAAGCTAATCTGGAAAAAACCAAGAACAAAACAGAACTGAAAACCAAGAGAGGGGTGTGAAGATCTAGGGGCCCTGCAAGGTGTTTGTTTTATTTGTTTGTTTATTTCGGAGGGCGAGAGGGTTTGTACCAAGACAGGTGTTTCTGGACCACTCGGTGGTCAGAACCAGACATGCTGTGGTCCAGGTCTTTGGCATCATCCAAAGTACAGAGCATTGTCCGTGGGGCAGTGGGCAGTTATGGGCCACTATCCTATGGGCCAGGGCCTCTAGAATTATGTGCACAGAGGAAAGGACACGGAGCACCAGGTATAAATGAGGGAGAGGTGGGGGCACAGGCATGGGACAAGGAGGGGGCGAGTGGGAGAGCAGCCTGGAGCGCTTGCTGCTGGGTTTGATGCTGAAGCCCTGGGAGGAGCCAGTCTTGGGGGCTGGAGGCTCCTGGATTGTGGAGCTGAAACTAGAACCCAGGCCTCAAGACTCCACATCCTGAGCTCTTTCTCCTTTCATCCTGCCCTCTGCAATGTCTGCCCTTGGGCATGAGCTCTTGGGATGTGGTCCAGAGGTAGCAGAGGGAACAGTGCTATGTTTGGAATCAGGGGCAGCTGGAGCTGGAAAGAATGTCTCCTTTCTCCACATCTCCCTGCCCCCATGGTGTAGTGCCCTGCCCGGCTTTTCCTTTAAATATGTCTTACAGCTGTCTGAACTCTGAAATTTCTTTCACTCCTTCCCTCGCCTTGTTAACATGTGTTGCCTTTGGGGTAATCAGGGAAAAAATATTATGTCCTTTTACAATTACCGGGTTTTGGAATATTAAAATGTCTCGCTGCATCGGCACTGTTATTTTGATTGGTATTCTAACCTTTGACTAGCCCATAAAGCGCGCCGCTCCTGAAGCCAATATTGCAGGACTGAAATTTAATTCCGAAATGATTCCAGATAATAGGGAGACAGATAATATATGCATGAAGGATATTATGTTTGGACTAACTGCAGCAGGGCCAAGGCTGGGGAGCTGAATAATAGCCCAGAGTGAGTTATAATCTATGGGACAGAAATGCCTTACTGTCAGGGCCAGGAGAGGAACTCTTAAATCAAAGGCACAGGAAAGGGTGCAATTGCAGTGTGCTTGTTTTGACAGGAAAAGCACTGGAGCCAAGAGGGTAGGTATGGAAGGCTGTGGCCCATCCTTTCTCTTGAGCAAAGTACCCAGGGCCCTTTGCAGCATCCCTAGCTTCATATCTCCTATCCCTCTAACATTCTGGCCATATCAAACTTCTTGCCATTCTTCAAATACACTCTTCAAAGGGACTATCACTTCCCTTTGCTCATTCTGTTCCCTTTGCCTACATTGCCTTTCCCCTTTTCATGTGTTGAGAAAACTCCCGTTCATCCTTCAAAACCCTCTTCTGTGAAGGCTTCACTGACCTTCCCCAACCCCTGGTAGAAATAGTCGATCACCTCCTCCTTTGTATGGTTTCAGCACTTTGTAATGAGTATATATCACATGCTCCTGCAATTATCTGCTCACACGTTTGTATTTCCTAGTAGACTGTGAGCACTTTGAGGCCTACATGCCACCTGTCTCTGTATTTCTAGTGCTCAGCTCTGGACTGGGCACACACTGGGTGTCAACAGGAACTACTTGAACCCACACTGAATATAGGGCTGGACGAATGAGCTCCGGAGTCCACATGCCCATTCCCCTGCCAGATTTCCCAGACAAATCAGCTTAGAGAAGTTAAGTAACTTGCCACACGGCACATAGCCTAAAGCTAGGATTTGAACCTGGGTAGGGGTGTTCTGTTCCCCAGACCATATATCTTAGGCGGGTGGGCAGGGAAGGAGTTGGAAGCCAGGGTCGGAAAGACAGAAACTCACTTCCCTGACTCTTCCTTCCTTTCCTAGCTCAGGACTTGAGTCCTCTTTGCTAGAGATGGCAT